AGTGATACAATAATTATTCTAAATAATATTTCAAATAATACTCTATCCAAACAATTAGTTGCATTAGTCAATACAGATCCTTGTTGGGGTTTTTACATATATTTTGCTCTTAGAAAAGGTTTAAGGTGAAGAAGAATACCGAGTGTGGTTAAATAGGTAAACATTATTTTACTTGCTTCATAAATTCATTTTCTAATCATCTTTGTATATTTTTATGATATTTTTATCTCACATACATCACATCACAAAAAAACTTATAGTAATTATTCTAATTCAAAGGGTGTACAGTAATGCACTCCTTTGATCTAGACGTGGAATCCTCTCTTTCTAGTCCTCCGTTCACCAAATTGCATCCTGGTGAGGAGGATCGACAAGAACATTGAGGATTGAACCCGCTCTCATTCTAAAGCGAAGAATAAAACAAAAGAAACTCTTATACTTAACTAGTTTGCATTGGTTAGATTGTATAGATTCAATTCTCGAGTAGAATAGCATGTTTGCTAACTCTACCAGTTCATCAAGAAAGGACAAAAGAAAAGTGTACCATGAAGAAGCCCCATTCCTCACAGGCTTTTCCAAGGTCGTCGATGACTTTGGCACGTTCATCAGGATTGGATGAGCTGAGCAAGGAAAAATCAATGACAGGAAGTGCAACTTCAGGGCCTGCTACAATGGATTTTTAGCTATCTTTGAAGTGTGCATAATCAGAAGGGAGGGATTTGAGGTCTTGTGATTGGACAAGTGCTTTAACGCTTGTCATTTGGATGAATTTGCAAGTAAATACTATATTGCTCAAAGTTAAACTCTAAAGCTGAGAAGCCCTAAACTAAGCAAACTAAGCAGTGGAATGAATGGTGCTGGTAAAAAACATGGGCTGTGTCTCAATTTATATAGAGAGGCAAACAAACAAAACTCAGGTCTCAAAATTGGACAAAAATATTCAAAAGGGTTTGAAGCAAAATCGTTTAAACAATTTGTTTCTCCCCACTGCCAACCAATCTTAGCATCAAGGACGAGACTGCTTTCATTTCTTTCTTGATTAATTAGTTTATTTATGCTAATAGGGAACACTAGAATTGACTTTTCCTTCCTAAAGCAGATAAGAGAGTATCAGATGGCTATCTTTTTCTGTTGACTAAAATCACAACAATCTTTTTCGAGATTAATATTTAGCAAAAGATTTTGTGTCGTTAGTTGCCACATTTGGAATTTTAGATACGAAAGTGCATTATAATACTAACTTCACTTTTACGTGGCTTTACTAAATAGTCCCACCAATTATTTTTCTTTTTCGATAGGTTGTAGGCTGGCATGAGAATATAGTAGAACAAACATATGTGCTAATAATCAAGTGAGAATTGTATGTGCTATTTTATTGATAGAAGTGGAAGCCATGTAAGGAACGTTTTCTTTTAATCTTTTCTACACTGTCAGCGGTGGATGAATAATAATTATGTAAAATTTAAAGTTCAAATTCAACTTTTACACACATATTATAAATTCAATGATGATAATATATGCACTATCAGTTTATATAAGATATACTCTTTAAAAAAAAGGGGCAGATCAAAACATTTTTTAAGGTACACATGACTCCTGATAACGAATATTTTTAGGTTATTTTGGATATAACGCCAAATGACAAGATGTTCAAGGAGCATTCATTTCTTCACTGAATCATTACCATTTGTCACATTGTAGCGTACATCTGCTCATATATCAAATCTACGTGCTTATATTTCAAGTGGCCTAGCTATTTGGATCAGGGCTTCTACTGTTACTAATAGTGATAGTGTCGTACAAAATAGATACAAACTCAATAAATATATAATTCCGCCTGGATTAATTATTTTTAGAGGTATTTTTAAAATATTTTACTATAATAATATATATGAAAAATATTTTATTGTAAATATTTTTTATGATATTTTTGAAAATGTTTTGGAATATATATTTAAATATTTTTAAAATTAAATTTTTGTGATACCTTTTAAAAATTACTATCACCGCCCATCACCTTTTCCCTTCTTCTCCTCCCTCCTCCCCCTCCCTCTTCCTCCTCCCTTCTCTTTCTTCCTCCTCCTCCGCTCCTCCGTCTCTTTCCTCCTCCCTTCCTCCCTTCCCTTCCCCTCCCTTTCCCTTGAAAGGAGAGCGGTGGGGTGTGGAGATAAGGGAGGAGGGGAGAAGGAAGAGGGAGGAAAAGGAAAGAGAAGGAAAAAGGAGGAGGTAGAGGAAGGGAGAGGAAAAAGGAGAAAGAGAGGATGATGGCGGTGGGGGTAGGGATGGTGATGATAGGTGGTGATAATAGATGGAAGAAAAAAATAGAGTAGATTTTATTTTTTATTTCTTTATATATTTGAAATTATTTTTGATATACTATATGGGTGTGGTGTTTTTGGAATTATTCTTATTTGTATATTATTATAATATTATATATAATAAAATTTGTTTTTAAAAAAATGAGAAATCCAAACAGAGCCAACACTAAAACAACAAGAGTGTAGACACTAACACAACAAGATAAAATATAACAATTTTTTTTATACACTGAAATTTGCACTGTGCATTCAATCTCCTCTATCCAATTTCACAACTCCTCATCTACCACCGTCAGCTATTCTCTGAAGTCACTACTGTGGCTACAGAGGATGTGGATCCCAAATTCCCAATTAATTGAACCTCATCGCGCGTGACATAACAACACCTTTTGTTTTAAAATTAATAACACAATAAACAGTCAATTCAAGTTTTATCCAGCTAGCTTAGGTCAAAAAGATTGATACGAATATTCTGTCTCACTCTCTACTCCACTATTTATCCCACTTTTGATGATTATATCATCATATCTTCTTTATAAATGTCATATTTTAATTCTATTTTTTTTCTTTTAAGTTCCGAAAACTATTAATAGGATAATACATGACATTCAACAAATTAGAAAGTCAAAATTCACAGGAAAATAAATTTTTTTGTAAATTTTCTACTATAGTTTTTATTTTTCTATTATATATTATCTTTTTAAACTGTTGTATTTTATTTTATTTTTACTTTGTTAAGAGTTATTTGAATTTAAGTAAACAAAAAAGAATAAAAAATATAGTGTTCATGAATAAAAAAAATATAGTGGTGAAATAGGGAATGAGATAGAAGACGGAAAAAATACCATAATTTTAAGTCAGCAACAATGTACGATGTGGCAATTTGGGACTTAGGATAGGAATGATTGTCAGATCAACCGTCCCTGAACGATATAACACTATCTTTATAAATTACAACTTCTTGTACATCATTATATATAATGAAGGTGTAATATTTTGTCTGTGAATCTCGTATATAATAGTTACTTATGTGTTATAAAGTTTTATAAGTAATTCATGTAGAGTTACAAACTCTTTAAAAAAAGTTACATCCCAAGTCCGGTAATTTGACTGACTGCTGCAGCCTGCAAAGTCGTGACTTCCTAGATGAATCAGAATTTCCTCCGCAGAAAAAGGGTGCCGTTTGTGCCTTAAGAAAATTAACGGCATTCTATATATAATATAATAATCACCATTGTTGAAGAAGTGTCACCGGTCCAAGCCCGCGTGAATTATGAGAGACATGCCAGAGAACTAGTTACCACATGTGTTTTTTTTTTTTTTGGTTATAAATCACAAGTATATGCATATATTTATGATTTGCAACTAATTCTATTCAAATAGAATCAAGTTCCTTACCATGAAAAAACTTTCTCAATATTATTCCTTTCATTTTTATGGATTTCAAACCCAAAACCTCGTGGTAAAAGATAGAAACCCATTTCACCGGCGCCAACATCCTTTGGTGTTAGCCCATGGTTTTGACTTTTACAGTCGGCTGACTCAATTGGTGTTAGCATAAGGTTTTAACTTTTAGACTTAGTTGGTAGCTGATGCTACCGGATAGATTTATTTGAACTTGGAAATCTTACATGAATAATTTGGAAATGATAAGTCAATCCTTAAGACGAATTGTTAGAAATTTATGACTATAGAGCAATATTTCGTTTGATTAAATATTTTGATATCGCCAATTTATAAACTATCCACATAAATAGATTTAAGAACATACAAAAGCAAAAAAAATTGTATCGGATTGTAAATTTAGCACTCACCGCCAATTTTTTTTTATTTTTATTTTTTGTCTATATTCACCATCTACATCTACTCTTACTCCTATTCTAATCTATACTAAAGGAGTGACCCAACAGGATCACAAAAAATCGATGAAAACTGAACCACCATCAAATCATATGAGTATAAGAGGCACCCATAAGAGAATTTAAGAAAAACCACGTTAAGTTGCAACTTTTGTTGATGGGAAACAAGGTTTGAATCCTTGAACTCCCACCTCACAAAGACATCTGATAGCCAACAACTTACCACCGCCAATTCCTCTGATCAATTTTAGTTCAATTGATTTCCATCATGTCTTTAGAGATGGTAATGTCCCTGCTGACACTTCAGCAAAATCAGGAATTCAAACTACCACTATTATTTTGATGGAGAAAGCTCCAGACTTTGTAATGCCAGCCAATTTTGGCTGATACATCAGCTTATTAATAAAATGTTTTATTAGTTTAAACCCAAAAAAAAAAAAAATCTTAGCCACTAGAAAAAGGGCACTAAGTTGTGAGTCTAATCTAATTATATATTTCTACCTGTATTATCAAGTCTTACCAAATTGTCAATCTATTCTAAATATACTATATTAGTAGAATTTTTCCTACCAAGTGTGGGTGCTAGTTATAATTTGAACAGTACAGCATAATATTTGAGTAACCTATAACTTGAGACTGGCAAGATAGATTCATGTTAGAGGTCATACATCAAGATACTACTGTTCTCAAAAGATCATTCATATGCAAAAACAAAGTTCATACCTTTGGTATTTCAATCCCATTAACAAACCGTCCGGAAACTATGAAGTGTAAAACAGTTAAAAGATGAAAGATGTGAATATTCATGCAATACCTCTCTATCTTGTTCAACAAAAAATTTAAATTTCAAATTCAAATTTTACATAATTATCATTCATCCAATACTGACAGTGTGTGTAAGGAAGATGAATCCCAAAATAAATTCATAGAATACCATTTCAGCTTCCAATTTGGAAAAGCAAGAATTTGAGAAGAAATCACCAGAAACTGATGATAAATTAGCCCTTTAATCCCCTCATCATCCATCCTTCTCGCCTCTCAAAACCAAACGACAAGGCTGGATTTTCTTCTCAAGTTCAGCAGACGGTTGGCACTGCACCACATCATCCACTGTGGTTTCACTGCTTATTCAGACAAATTACTCTTATCTATCACCTCCACATTAGTTGCTACATATGACTGCTCTCTTTTTAAATCTTGGAAAGAATGTGTAACGAGTAAAAACTCCTAATAGCAGTTCCCTGTAATATAGAGTAGACACTAAGCCATGGTACCGAAACTACTAGTAGCCCCTTCCACTCTATATATTCTGAAAAAGCACATTTAAGTTGGCCATGCAGAAAATAGACCATTCACATACAGGAGGCCAAACAAAGTAATCTGCACCAAGTTGGACATAAATCTTCTAGAAATCTACCTTCAATGAGTATTAGAATGCCTTCCCATTAGTGTGATGAAGCGTCTGAGAGAAGTCAATCCATCCATAGACAAGATACAATCCCATCAGAGGGAAAGAATGACTGTTAATTATCAAAGAGGTTATGGCGAACAGATAAGGTTTCCATAACTAGATATATCAGAAAGGACGCATACAACCAAAAAAATCAAGTTGTCATAGAGTCATAATAACAAGTATAAGAAGCAGAGGCACCTAGTCAAGAATTCATGAAGTATCTCCTCGTAAAACTGAGCAGCTGTCACACAACTAGGAACACTAACTAGAGTATTGCCTACCGGAAATTGGAGAACAACTGCAGTATTGGGAGAGCGAGTTCTATCTTCCTTTGGTCATTCTAGTATCTTCATTCCAAGCCACCAGTAGAAGTGACGCGCGTTGCATGGGAATGCTCATGTGCTATGAATACCTTTATCCAATTGCTCAACCCATTTCATTCTTTTTACCTTAAAGTGAGCTATCAAAGCTGCAACAGGGACAACGAGTCCCATGTAGCATAGCGACTTAGATTACACCATGACAGATAGGTTAAAAAGGGTAAAAACCCAAATGACCTTGAATTTAGATTGTTCTCCAGGAGTAAAGGTCATCCAGGACGCATAAGAGCTAAGAATAGTTAGCAGGCCACCTCATCCAGAAATTCAAGGGATTACTAACGCAATTTTGATTTCTTTTGTGAAAATGACTTTCTTGTTGAATAAGGAAAAATTATCTCATATAAATTGTGGAGGAAGCCTTTATCATAAATGTTATTTTGAACAACCTCCACCTCTTCTAGACGAGATCTCCTGAATATGGCCTTCAATTTGCTCTGCGGAAGCTTCTTATCAAGGCTCAGTTCAACTAAACTTTCTTTAAGGGCTGCCTCACTTGCCTTTGCCTCAAGCAGCTTCCTCTGCCAGCTTAAATACTCTTTCCACTTAAATGTCTGCAATTCATATTGACCAGCAAAAGAATACAAGTTTTACAATCTATGCAGCAGCAATATCACATCAGGAGCTACCAAGACAGATAATATTGTACCCGTCTCTAACAGAAAAGCTAAAACTTTGAGGTTGTTTAGCAGCAACAAACTGTATTCCCTGTTTGGACGTCTCATTTCTATGGTTAAAACATTTAATTTTATTTCTCTTGCATGAAAACTGTTTTAACTAATTAATATCGTTCAGGGGCTACACTTAGCAATGCCTAAATTAACTTGTATAACAATGTCAAACTGTGGGCCAAATGAACAAAACAAAATTGTAAGTATATAACCCCAATGAAAAGAAGCCAGACCTCATTTGTTGTGGTGTTTGTGATGCATAATTTAGCATGGTATCCAAAGAAACCAGATAGTAGTAGAGAAACAATGGCTAGAAACGCCATGATAAGTATTTGTGTATTGTAGGAGCTGAGCAACCACTGCATGAAGACAATAAAGAAACACCATCTTAGAGCATTTTAGTGAGAAGAAATGCTTGCTTAAACACAAATCATATACCAGAAAAGGTAGTAAAAGAAGATGAAATACATTAAAGACCGTGAGAACAACAACCAAGCAAAAATCACAAGACTGATTTCAGAAACACAGTATTTTCTTAACTAGTGCCACACGCGCTTTCGCGTCGCATTTCAGGCCGGAGACCTACCTTTTGTCCCCTACCCTTTGGACGTCAAGTTCCTCACTTCCTGTCCTTATCCTAGAAAAGAAAAAGGGTTAATTACATTTACCTCCTCGTAGTTTAGCCAAACTACAAACCAACCCTTAACATTTTGCCAAATAACATCTCACCCCTATTACTAACACCATCAAAACACCATAGACGGAAGGCATAAAATGACACATATGCCATCCAACTGAAATAGTTGAATGAAAGTAATTTTAGAAGTTGCCAAGTAATTCGGATGAAGAGTAAAAAGGTAGGTGCAACAAATGAAATTTCTCTACCGCCAAGGATCTTGAAAGAATACAAAAAGAGATCCCAACTTCGAGAGACAGAGGACTGAGTTTCCATTCCTGTCCAAGTTCTCAAATGCCAATGTGCGGTGGCTGAGGACCGCCGCAGTTCTCTCCTCCTTCTCAAACCTTGATTTATCTCCCTATACTAGGCTCCGTTTGGATTAGCTGTTTTTGGGTTTGTTTTTCAAAAACACCACTGTAACATTTTGAATCTGAAAAACAAGTCCGTTTGGATTAGTTGTTTTTTGGGTTGTTTTTCAAAAATTATATGAAAAACTTTTACTGTAGATTTTTTTGGATTATTTTTAGAGGTATTTTTGAAACATATTTTTGAGTATTTTTAGAATATTATAATTTTTATATTTTTATATAAATATACATTTATGCATTTATAATACATTTATAGATATTTATAAATAAATATATTTATATATTCATATAAAAATATATAAATGTATTATATTATATATAATACATAATATAAATATATTTATAAATGTATAAGTGTATATTATTATAAATGTATAAATTATAAATGATTATTATAAATATATTATAAATTATAAGTGTATATTATTATAAATGTATAAATTATAAATGAATATTATAAATGTATAAATTAATATATTATAAATATATATTAATATTATGTAGAAATGTATTTATATAATTAATATAAATGTATATATGTATTGATATTATGTATAAATGTAAAATTAATATTATGTATATTAATATAAATGTATAAATATATTATATTATATATAATACATAATATAAATATATTTATAAATGTATAAGTGTATATTATTATAAATGTATAAATTATAAATGAATATTATAAATATATTATAAATTATAAGTGTATATTATTATAAATGTATAAATTAGTATATTATAAATATATATTAATATTATGTAGAAATGTATTTATATAATTAACATAAATGTATATATGTATTGATATTATGTATAAATGTAAAATTAATATTATGTATATTAATATAAATGTATAAATGTATTATATTATATATAATACATAATATAAATGTATATTTAAATGTATAAGTGTATATTATTAAAAATGTATAAATTATAAATGAATATTATATAAATGTATAAATGTATAAATTAATAAATTATAAATATATATTAATATTATGTAGAAATGTATTAATATAATTATTATAAATATATACATGTATTAATATTATGTATAAATGTAAAATTAATATTATGTATATTAATATAAATATATAAATGTATTATATTATATATTATACATAATATAAATGTATATTATAAATATACATAAATATTTATATATTATGTATAAATGTACATTTATATAAATGTATAATATATTATATATTATATATTATATAATTTATATAACATATAATAGTTATGTAAATATATTATAAATATATAAAAATATATTATAAATAAAATAAAATATTTATAATATGTATGTATAAATATATAATATTAGAAATGTATAATATATATAATATACATTATTATTAATATAATTTATGTATAATATACATAATTGAAATATACATATTAACATATATTAATATATATTATAAAACAAAATTGAATAAATATATTTATAAATTTATATATAAATAAATGTATTTATATAAATATATAATATTTATTTCAATTGATATAATATATATAATATTATACATAATTGAAATAAATATATTTATATTAATATAATATATATAATATACATAATTGAAATATACATATTAAAATACATAATTGAAATATACATATTAAAATATAATTGAAATATACATATTAAAATACATAATTAAAATATACAAATTGAAATATACTTATTAAAATATACAAATTAAATATACATAATTGAAATATATTTGAAGTTGTTTTTGATATATTGTTTGGATATGGTGTTTTTGAAGTTGTTTTTGAAATACACATTACTGTAGCATTTGGAATGTGAAAAACAATTTTTAAAAAACATGTGCAAAAACACTCAATCCAAACGCAGCCCTAAATTTTTCCGCAACTTTTACAAATCCACTTGATGCACCGCCATGTCTATCGCCTTTCTCCACCCTTGGCTGTTATCTCTTCTAATGGAGTTACACATGTCAAACCAAATTCATGGGTTAGGAAAGAAAACAAACCCGTGCCTTATCAACTCAGTCGGGATCTTCTGGATCTTCTGTCCAATATTTTATATCTATTTTCCTGTCCAATACAAAATCACGTAGTTTCACTTATTATATCTGTTGATATGACACATAGAAAAGAAAGGCTGTTTGGCTACCTTATGCTTTCTTATTTTTTCTTTTTTTTTTAGGTTTCCTTTGTTTACATAACTTTGTTACAATTTCCAAAACCCTATTATTACCGTTACAATTCCCAAAACCTGTTGCCACCATTTTCTGCTCTTCAACAAAATAATTTTTTTTTCTAGTGTAAGTGAAAGCAAATAATTTTGGGAACCTCTATCCAATAAAACAGCCAAACAGTCTTTCTTTTTTATGTGCCATATCAGCAGATATAATAAGTGGAACTACTTAGTTTTGTATTGGACAGGAAAGTGGACATAAAATATTAGATAGAGGATTCCGTCTACAAACCCATCAATAAGAGGGAGTGTTTTTTGGTTTTTAAATCTAAAAGTGAGGGATAAACAAGTGGTTTATCCAAAATAACACAAACTTATATGTTTATGATGACAACGGGAGCATATCCACATATTTCTTCTTGAAATTCCTAGACTTCAACATGCCATGACTGAAGTTAGTCAGTTTGGTGCTCACGATTTAATTATGGCAGAGTCAATGTCAAAAGCTGGCTTTTCTTCTTCTTTTTTTTTTTGTGATAAAATGGTTGACTTTTTTTTTTCTGTTTTTTGTTAGATTTTGCTGCTATAAGTTTATTTTGAGAATCAGTGAAGTGTGTTTTTTCAGATTTTGTGGGATGGATCATGATTTTGTTTTGCAGAGTCAATATCAAGAGCTGGCTTTTCATTTACCTTGATAAAATGATTGATTTTTTTTTTTTCCATTTTTTGTTAGATTTTGCTGCTATAAGTTTATTTTCAGATTCAGTGAAGTGTGTTCTCTCTAATATTGTGGAATGGAGAAATAATTTACTGATGGTTGTAAATTCGAATGGAGACGCTGGCTGTTGCATCCATTTGAGCACTATTTTAATTATCTTGTAATTGTTGGTTCAAAAAAATTTCTTCAGCCCAAAAATAGTGTACAGAATTTTGATAAATTTGGGGTTGAATGTACAGAGGAAGATCATGATTGCAGGCAGTAGTGTTATGTTGATGGCTGGGGTTTTGCCTTTTTTTTTTTTTCAAAAGATAGGCTTAAAAGTTCATTGATGGATTAAGTGTACAAAAGTAGCTCCCTTTTTTTTTTTTTTTTTACTTATCATCGCCTACATTTACACCTACTCCTAGTCCTAATCTAACATATACTAAGAGGGTGACCCAATAGGATCACGAAAAATATATGAGGATTAAATTATCATCGGACCATACGAGTGCACAACACCCATATGAATTTTAAGCAAAGTCACATTAAATGACCTCCCACTCCACACTAAAGGTGGTGGCCAACTCCACAAAAGGGAGTTGGCTCAAAAGTAGCTCTCTTAGTAGGTGAAGATCCGAATCCAAAACAGACAAAAGAGACAAGCTAGAAGTAGTGGGAGCCTCAAATGTTTTACATTGATTGATGGCTGGGGTTTTGCTTGGAGAAGTAAAAAGGTGTCCCGATAGAAAGGTTAGACATGATGGATATTTTGGGCAATTAAAGCGCTCATTTTTGTTCACAACGTTAAGAAGCAAGTAGTCAACATTTGTTGACTAACAGAAGGGGTTATTTTGTTATGAGTTTGTCAATTTTAGGGCCATTTTATTATTTGGCCAAACCTCAAGGACTGATTTGCAGTTTGGTTGAAACTCAAGGGAGGTAAATATAATTAATCCAAAGAAAATTTTATGTTTGCACTCCTCGTCCCTTATTTCTTCTTTTATTTTAAAATCAAGCTAGTAATTTACTACGTACTAATTTCTACTAGAACTTTTTTCCAATCATACATTAGGGTTAATTAGAAGGTGCGCCTTCAACAAATGCGTGATCGTACATTTGCCCTTATCGACATCGCTTCCATTTTAGAGATAGTAGAACTTTTTTTTTTAAAATACTATGTATAAGTTTAATTTCTTCCCTGTAAATGGTTAATTAGACAGCAGTTCCTTCTACAAAAATTTTAATCTCTCCTCGTCAAGTTGATGAGATATGCATTACTTTTTGGTCCAAAAATAATGAGTATTAATTCAATTCTCATATATTTCATCTCCTTCCTTATCGTTAATTTGGATCAATTCACCCTCTATATTGTTAAAATTTCTACGATCTAATACAATATAGTGATCAAATCAACTTATTGTTCTTGGTGGGAATAGGATTTTGGATCTCATGCTGTAAAAGCAATTATTCGTATTTAAAAAAACAAAAACAAGGCCAATTATTTCCTAGTTTGGTGTGACTTGAGCAATTCTTAGGGTGGAGAAGATATAGAATTTGAAGCATAGGGGCTAAGTTACCATGACAGTGTACTAAC